TCTCTTATTGGACGCGGGATGCGAAAGAAAATCGGGAAAAAGTGTTTTTATTATCACAGCGATTATCACATGATCTTATGTATGTACGTCATATTCATCACCAATCGATTCACCAATCCGTTGTCCATGGGCCTTAATCTGCCGACTGTGTTGTGTTTTGCATCTTCGCGACCGGTGACGCTCCGAATCTGCCGGAAGCGGAGTCCGCCGAAACGATCAACGAGTGTTTATCATCTCCGACCTCGAGAGAGCCGGCCGTTCTTCTCTTTCCGGAATTCCAATCGCTCGTATAACTCCCGATCGAGCTATCGGCGCTGCCTAATATTTTCCTTCCTGAGATCTGCGCTCCCTCGAGAAATCGGGAAAGCTGCGGCTCCGCACGCGCAGCGCGTACAGCGCTGTAAGCTCAGGTACTTGACAAGATCCTCGGACACCTACTGTTACGCCTTCTCGGCGCAGCGCGCGAGTCGCGCTCGTTTCTCGAGTTACAAAACTCGAGACTTGCCGAGCCTCACGCCTAAAACAATATTGGCGGGGACCAACGGAGGGGGTTCGGCCGGTTGTGCACATTAGATATTTATTTAAGACCGTCCGACACGGCCGCTTTGCTACTCGTTCGCCGTGAAACTCGCCGGAGCGTGTGCGTGAGAGAGAGAGAGAGAGAGGAGAGTGCACGCGTGCGCGTACATGCGTGTAAATGTCATTGACATAGGTACCGCGAGTCTTCGGCCTACTAAGTACCCCCAAACTCGAGATGTTGACCCGGTTAATAGCCCCGTGTTTGATTAGACTACTGTAGTTCGTATAAGCCGGCACACCGGTAATGCGAGTTTCAACGCGTGAGACCGCGTTTCTGCTGCGCGCCGCCGGCAGTTATGCAGAAATGGGATCGGTAATTAAGGACGCGCCCTTCTTTCGTCTTGGGTGTCGCGTCGCGCAAAATTGGGCGACGCTATGTTTAGCTACGACTGTACACACACACCGCGTCATGTGTGCCTCAGCTGACACTGCGCGATCAACGTATCATTCAACTTACCGCATTGAAATAGACGGGGAATAGTTATTTTTTGATATGTAATTCATGTTGCGTGTATATAATTCTTTTTGAACTACGTTTAGATTGTGTGTGTGTGTGTGTGTGTGTGTGTGTGTGTGTGTGTGTGTGTGCGTCCCTCCCTTTTCTTTTTCAATTATACGCTGTAAAAAAAAGAGAACCGTCGAAACAAATTGAATCGAATCGAACGAACTCAATTTCAGGAGGTATGTATGGGGAATTGCTTTAATTCTTTCGGCAAACATTTTTTTATATTCTTTTAAACCCTTGTTTGCGCAAAAAAAATTAAAAATTCCGTTCAGCGAAGCGAACGTAGAGCTGATTCGACACATTATTGGCTGCATTGCTGTCGTATTTTACTTCATTTTCCATTAGGGATAGAATTACTTGTATTATACAGTTAGATCAGCTTTTTGGTAATTGAAAGAATATCCATATCTTTGGATTAAGGATAAAAAAAAGCGTGATATTTAAAAAAATAATGACCTTGAAATCTCCGAAGCACCTCCACTTATAGAGAAATTATTACTAGTATATCATGGCTTTCTTGATGCTGTACAATTTTCGTGATTAAAATATCTTCACATCTCTGAAAATAGCAAAAATATTTCAGGTAGACTAAAGTTATCGCCCCACCTTGTATATATCTCTGCGGATGGACTTTCACTTATTGCAGCTTAGGTCTACAGTTTCCCTTAATTGGATGATTTTGTAATAGGCCGATTTGCCGAGGACTCCTGCCGTATCTTCGAAACGAGCTCTGATAATTCCGCCGTTTTATCAATCACGGTTTAGCTCCCTTGGATCTTGTTACGCATTCAACGCGATCGTCGTAAGGCACGTCAAAGGAAGCGCTTCCACCCCGTTATTTTCCAACTCACTAATTTACACTAAATTCGCATTTTCCGCGTTGCCGATCTCGAGAAGAGGAAGTCGCAGGGTAGGAGAAGGCGCGAGTCGGCCAAAGGAAAATCAGAGAATACGCTTCGCTTCGCCGTGCCAGGTTACACCGGAAGAGGGAGAGGTTAATTATCGAATAACAAGGGTTGCTGTTTGAAGATAGATCACCGGAAAACTCGACGTGGTAGATTTCGTCGTTTTTAATGCGCCCGACAATCGCGCCTGTAGACTTTTTTTCTTAATTTGAAAGAGCAAAATCAAGAAATTTCGCGGATATTGTCGTTGTGATATAACTACGTGATCACAAATCGTCATGCAACAGACAATAATATCAATAAATTAACCTTGAGCGCGATCAAAGGTAACTAAAAAAAAAATAATCCCAAAATTAAGGATGAATATATAATTATAATTGAGTTTTCCGGCATTTAGTTAGTATATAATTAAGTTTTAAGTTTTTAGTTATTTAGTATAAATAATTAATATGTAATTATGTAGTTATGTAATTAATAAATAATATGTAATTATGGTTCAACTTTTAATTATATTTAGTTAAATATATAATTTAATTTTGAGTTATCTAGTAGTTAACATAGTACAGTTAATTAAGTGTAAATAAAAAGTGTAAGATATTAAAGAGAACGGGCACGTAGGAAAATATTAACAAAATAAGGCAACACAGCAGGTATGTATCTTAAGCGAAAACCCGTCTATGTAAAATCCATCGCGTTTACAGTTTAGTATGCGTAAATCTTTCGGCGCGTCCACGCCACCGTCGCACAATGCTCGCGTATTTTCCGAGATAAATCGATCCCTTTTGTAATTCCCCCCGCGGTGTAAGTGTAAGTTGGCATAAGTATCCGCTGGAAGGAGGAACCCCCGGGTAGAAAGAGGGAGGGAGGGAGGCAAAGCCTGGATCTACGGCTCGAAAGGCAACGAAAGCCATTGATCCTGGCCAACAAGGAGGCGATCGCTCGCTCCAACGATCAATGAGGAGAGAATAAAAGGACTCGTCCGCAAGCCGACTTACACGTTTCAGCTACGATGTAACGAGGATCACTATAAACGCTCAATCGACCGATCGATCGGGGGGGGATTCGGGGATCCGCAAAATCCCGCGGTGCAATAGACCGTCGTTCCAGCGGTTGTTGTTGTTGGATACAGCATGTAGATTACAAACTGAATCGTATCGAGCCGCTGTTGTGCGATATTAACGAGACGTCGATTAGACGGGATTGCAAAATAAAACAATTATCGAAATCCGAACGACATCGTCATCGAGATAAATATTTCGGCTGTGTGAGAATAAAAGTCCGAAATTTCCGATGGAAAATCACGCGAATTATCAAGGAGACGAGGGGGTCAAGTTTTATCTCGCGAAATTACGAAGATCCTCGCGAAAAAATCTTTGGAATTGGATTTCTCGGTCGCGCATGTTTCGCGAGGTTCCACGCGAAAACGAGTTCCTCTCGTTACATTGATACAACTCACAGTCATTTCCGGCCTCAGCTATACTTTTTGTGGCGGGACGGTCGCAACACTTTTTCTTCGACGGAAATTTCAGAACGCCTCTCGTGTCCAATAAGAGAATTCACTTTCTGGTAATCCTCGGGAGAGATACATTTCCCTATTGGACACGAGCCGCGTCGCGGGAAACTCATCGGGGAAAAGGTGTCGCGACCGTCTTGCGACTGACCCGTTTACCGATTGTTTAAACTCGCTCGCTCTTCGCTGCCATTTGTCACCTCGGCGGAAACAATCCGCGAGATGCAAAATTTCTCGTGAATGAATCCAGGTTTGCCCTCTCTCGGTTCTGTCGAGAGCGCCGCCGCAACTTCGCTGTGACGATAATCTCAAAGGCGATCTCCCGCGGCACGTGGTGATTCGCTGTGAAACCATCTGCGCAAACGATTAAACGGGCCCCGTGGGCCCGGCGCAAACATTTTGACGTTCATTCACGTTACGTGAAAGACCGTCTCTCACGCTCCTTGGCACCGAAAGGGGCGGACGGCTTTGTGCGCCCGTTCTCGCGTATCGTCGTCGCACTTTCGAGAATGCTCGTGCATGCGCGAGCACTTAACCCTTCGTCGCTCGCACGATGCGAGCGGAGAGACACGCGCGATTCCACATTTCGTAAATAGTCTCACACACACACACGTGTATCCGTAAATCTCTTCGAATCGTTTCCCATATTACGCGGCGCGCAAAATCACCGATGAAATTCTGCCCCGAATTTTCGTCGCGGACCGTAAAACACCCAAAGTGCCGGACTCTCTCTCGACACCTGTGGATTTGTGGAAATTTTTACCCAATTATACTCCCCCCCTCTCACCTTTCGCATAATCCCCGCAAGTATTTCCATTGATGATTCCGGTTAGATCAGTATCCGGCGATGTATACATACATATATAGGCGTATTATCGAGGTTTATACCAGCTACGTAATAAAATAATAGCGGCGTCGCGGAGGGAGAGAGAGAGAGATCGCGCGCCGCCGCTTCACCGCGCTCGCATCGTCGCTCAAATCCTCCGAGGAGCCGGGAACCGTTTTAGCAATATAAATATGTACACACGATACACGTACCCGCTACTCCGGCCGACGTGACACATCACAGCACTCGCCGGGCGCAGTGTCTTCGACTGTGCTCTTCGGCTTTTTTCCTCACCTCCTCCGCCGCCCTTTTCCTCCGCGAATATCGCCATTGCTATTCAGATATTCGAGACTGCCTGGGCTTTAATAAAAATATTTGCTGAGAAAACAGTTACGTTCGGGGGTGTCCCCTACCATCGCCCGCTTCCCGCCTGTCCGCAAGGCGAGTTATTCTTATATCCAGATTCGCGGGCGGTATTCTCCGACGGCGATTTCCATAAATGCAATAATTCGAAATAAGACAACTTCCGGGGCGAAGTCTTACCTCCGAGCCTGGGACGGACGGACGGAGTGAACGCGGGGGAGGATAGGTAGACCAGGTATTCCGGAATTATTCCGCCTGTTATATCGTAGCTGCGCGCCCGCGGTCTCTACAATAATAAAATGTAAACCGCACTTGATTTAAGACACTTTATTATACTTCGTAACTCTTACAATAACGGACGTGTGGATATAGCGAGAGGTATGAAGATGAATACCAGTAAAAGTTCGAGTAACAAGCGGGATCCGTTGCTTCCTCCGTTCGTCGTTCGATTCGCCCTCGGATAATCGCTTCTCGTCGCCGGATAATCAGTTCTTGCCTTCGGAAATACCGCGAGAATGCAGCTGACCCCCTGACACGCCGTCATTCTCGCCAATCGCTGGCGATATTTGTGTCTCGGCCCCTTTTTCATGGTGTACCCGATATTTGTCAATTGATATTCGTCGACGTTCAGATCGTAAGCCTCGATAAATTTCTACGGAGATCGAGATTTTTTTCTTTTTAACGTGAAACGTCCTTCGAAACGAAGCTGAGAATCGTCTTCGCACGCGTCAGTCGGATCGCAGCGATACATACTTGGTTGTCCTCGAAGACGCAGAAGATGTTGTTGAAGTCCGGGGAGATGCGGCGAATGCAACTGAACGTATTGTTCGCGGCGTCCTGACACTTGCACATCATGTCTTTCATGCACAACTGTAAGATGAGCGCGTATGAGCTTAATTCGAGAAAACTCGAGAAGATGCGCTGGTAGAAAATTATTAGAGGTGTACGAAACAATCGTCTGCGTGGTCGAATCGAATCTGAAATTATCATGTCGAGTCGAATCAGATCTCTTTAATTCGAATGCGAATCGAATTCGAAGCAGATTTTCCGGAATTTTCATTACATACTAATCTGAATATGATAAAGTAACGTTTAGAATAAGATAAAGTAACGTTTCAATGAAATGTTAAAAGCTTTTCTTTAAATCGACGAAAATATTAATCACTGCATAGTTTTGAGAAAATCCCGCCATTATCCCCGCCGAAATTATCGAACTATTCGAATTTAAATCCTTTGGATTCGAAAACGAATTAGAATCGAGTCAACAGTGATTCGAATCCGAACGATTCGCACACCTCTAAAAATTATAGTATTATTTTCGGTGCCGAAAATATTTTTATAATATCAGCAACATGTAAGGTTATTATCAACGACGCTATAATAACGTTTGCTAGAAAAATGGTTTTTCTATTTTTGTGATTAAAAGAAAAGAAGAGTTTCGCGCGGAAAATAACTGTGATTTTCTATTAGTGTGCAACGCCGTTCGAGTCTAAACTAAACATTTGATACTTGCCGTTACGTTCAGATCATTGTCACTCGGGCATCCGGAGGACGGTCTTTGCTTAGATCTCTCCCCCCTGTATTCTATCAGGAGAGTGCGATCCTCGGGCAAATTATCGTGCTTCTTAAACAACGTTATTCCATCCGACGGATACTCCACGCCGGCTATATCTAAGAGCGTCGCGAAGATATCGACGCTACTAACAGGCGCGGAAATAGTAGCCGGGACAATTCCCGGACCGGATATCAATAACGGAACTCGTATATCAGTTTCGTAGGGTTGGCGCTTGTCCATAGGCATACTGAACTGACCTGCCGAAATAACGCTCGTCTTGTACAAAGATTAAAACGATGACGACATTAAAGGAGAATCTATCTCCAGACTCTCCCGAAAGAGTATTTAGTATTATGAATCTGTCTTAATTACACTATAAAAACTATATAAAGTGCTGTGAGAAAATTCGTAACACGTTGGGTAGTGGCATCAGTTGCAATGGGGTGTCAATTGAAATATTCTAGTGGCGAAATCCGTGAGAGGAATACATTATTATTATTATTACTGTTTGAAAGCCTCGCCTAAAAAATGGGCTCAATCCAGCTGCGCAGATGATGATCTATTTATATTTATTTTCATCGTTTGTCTGCTTGAACTTTTATCTTTAATGACTCTTTCCTTCATAACTTTTAATATAATGTTGCTGCTTTTTGTTATTTTAATCTTGTTGTCCAGTTTAAAATTAATTACTAATATACAATTTGCAGCGTTTTTTGAATGATTGACGAGAGTTAAAATTGCTGCTGTACAACTGACACCACGTTGGTGTTAACTGTAACATAATTCCTCGCTGTTTTTCGCTCGTCTCTCGAAACTTCGAATTTTGTCAATATTGGTTGTTACAAAATTAAAACCGGAAAGTCACTTAATATCACATGCAAACTTGGTTTCTCTCCGATTAATAATACAGAAGATACAACCCAAAAAATATTTTTTGTTACCACTGACACCACCTCTCCCTCTAAGCTTCATTTTTAAGAGTATAAATTTTTAACGGGGCAGTTTTTGTTCCGTAACATTTTTACATATGATGTAATTTTCAGTAACCACTTGCTGTATCAAACACAGTATCGGGTCAATTACCAATGTGATATCCGTTGTCGGAAGTGTAGACGAAGTAAGTTTCGTGCAGGAGATTTCGCTTCTTCAACGACGTGTATACGGTTTTGACTAACTCGTCGACCGCCAATAATGTCTCCCACCTCCTCCTGTATATCTCGTCTAACTTCGATAACACAGACTCCGGTAAAGGGGCCGGGCCGTGTCTAACTAACCAATGTTTATCCTATCGAGAGAATAATATGTACAAAATACTCTGGATGCGTCATTTCGGGATGAAATCCGGTATGTACGCGATTATTCCTCGCAATGCTGTACCTGATGCACCGGGATGTTAAAATTCGGGGTTCTCTTCGCTTTTGTGCTATTGTATTTATTATTATATCTATCCGCAGGTGTGAAGGGCGCGTGAGGGGCCGGAGGTGCTAATACCATGAGGAAAGGTACCTGGTCTCCTGTGTGCGCGTTAATAAAATCCAACGCCAGATTACTCTGCAATACATGGAACATGACAGGACATGTAATTGTCTTCCCCGTTCTGTCCTCCCGTTTATCTGACGGATCCGACATTGCGACGCGGCTCTAAATTCAAATCGTCGCGGAGGAAGACGGAGGGGAATGTCCAAAATGGCCGTTTTGTGTACTTACGATTACGTCGGTGAAATAATCGCTCGTACCGTTACCGTACGTCCTCTCGGTACCGTTTATCGATAAGGAGTAATCGTAATATTTCGAGTTCCCCAAAAGACCGGCCCACCAGTCCCATCCTACCGGCACGTGAGCCGCTCCGCCGACTTTACCGTTCCCGTACTGCATTTATCAGAGAATATAATTGTTTCAAGCGGTGTCTACAATGAGAATTTAAGGCGTGAGACTCGAGAAATTCATCAATCACGGTCGAATTATCGAAGAAAAATCAACTGTGATCGATTTCTTAAATCTCACGCCTTAAATTCTCATTGTAGATCCCGCTTTATTCACATCGCACCCGTTTTCACCATCATAGTTTAGATCTAATCGACGATTAACTAGACGGAACTGACCCGTCGCATTTGTCGATTTCGTTGAGTTGATTTAAATCATTCGTCGATGAAATTTCAGCCATAATCGAAATGGGCGTTATGTACGGTATGTTTACAAACTACGGTTAATCTAATCGACGATTGAGGGACGCCGTACTTGAAAACTTCGCCAGCAAAATGCTGATTTCTTTCTTTCTAAAGTTTACGTCGTATCGGAATGAGCCGTCAAAAGTCGCGCCTACCTCGTTCAAGTATTTTCCCGCGTAAAACGTTTTGTATCCGGCGACTTTCCGTAGAAGAGCGGCGAATGTCGCCGGTTCTTGCGACTGCTGCCACTCTGCGCTACTACAACCTCCGGCGATGGTATTGTTCACCGTCAGATGATTGTGCTGGTAACGTCCGGTCAGGATGGACGCTCGATTGGGGCAACAGATAGGCGAAGCTACGAACTGAAAAAAACGTGACGCGATTTTTCTAAAAACGTCGATTTGAAAATATCGCAAAAATCATCGTCGTTGTCCCGCTGCATTTGACGAACTTACACAATTTGTGAACGTAGCGCCATGCTGTCCGATGAGGTTCTGCGTTTGCGTCATCGGCGTCTAAAATCACGTTAAATCCGGATGCACACAATCGAAATCGTATTCATTTGCGGCGTCTCCGATCGAAGCGATTGAAGTCGTTTCTCATTCGAATCGTCATTTTCGCACTCCATTAGCGAGAATGCGCAACAATCGCAGGTTTCATTCAAATCGACTCTTCTGCGTTATCATCGCGATACCTTTTACATTGCAATTCGATCGACTAGATCCATGTTACGTCGCGCAATGCTAATGGGAATCTTTTAATTATTCCCTAGAGAATACAAGAGGAAATCTAGGGAATAATTAAAAGATTCCGAACAAGTCCATAATGGGTGCCCTGAAGAGCGTTCCCGTAAAATAAGCTACAAAATACGAGAAAATTACTGGCATACGATAGTAGATAATTTTTGTCCGCATTCTTGCGCGATTTTCCTTTCCACACGGGAAGGATGCTCTTCAAATATCCCCATCTAATAGACGGATTACCACATGGTTTATCCAAAGGGCGGAACAACTAACTCGAACAAATCGCTCCGATCGCGAGAGGCTCGAAACGCGCCCGAGCGGAAATAAAAGACGCTACCATGCCATCTAGAGTCAAGTCCTGATCGTCGGTAATAATCAGGACGATATTCTCCGACGCGACCGACAGCAAATAAATCGACGACACGAGGAAGAGGACCGCCGGCTGCATGTCGGATGACGGCGACGGCTCGCGCCAGGAGGATCCGCGATCGGATACAACGGCGAATACTCGTCGGCAGGCTACGATCGGCTTTCTCGTCGTCGAAAATAGTGATGGCGCTCCGCCAAGTTACTCGCGAGTACTACTCACTACCGGCGATCGAGTCGCCTATTAATACAACCACGTCGTCGTTCGTTATTCACACATGCGTCGGGACGGATTTAGCGGGGCGCAGCGTATAAAATTACTCCTGATTACGCTTTTCGCTGACAACTCCTCGTCGACAAGAGCGCGCGTTCCGACGAGCTCGGTACCGGCGGCTGCCACCAGATAGCGCGAACGACGCAGGAAACGTCGCGAAAGGGAGAGAGAGAGAGAAAGAGAGAAGGGCCACGGACAGACGACAGATGGCGCGGGGGTAAGGAGTTCTCAGGGTGTCGGAGCTCTCGCGTTCGCCTCACGCTCGAGCACGCACACGACACACGAGCGACGAACGGGGCGCGATCGTCGCGTTGCATACCGCACGACATACGCACGCACGTTACGCACGTCCGTCCGTCCTCCCGCCGGCGAACTGTTAGCCTTTCCTTCGCGCACGCCGGACGTCGTGCACGACGCGCCGCGCGACACCAGCCGCGAAATTATATCGGCGAGCTCTCTACCCACACACACCGCTACCCCCCCGGCGTCCCGGACATTGCCGAGTGATCACGCAGTAAGTCTAGCGAAGTTCGAATTAAAAGGCTGCAAATATCCGCCGCTCGGTCGTCATTTTACTCTCGCGACAACGTGAACTGCTCTCTCTCTCTCTCTCTGGCGCGCACAGCCGCGCGCGCGCGCTCTCTCTCTCTCTCTCTCTTATTCTCTTTCGCTCGCTTCTCCAGCTTCGTGTATATATATATATCTCTCTCTCTCTCTCTCTTTATCTCCGTTCGTCCGTCCGTCTGGTATCCTCGCGATAGTTCCGCTCGACACACACGGCGCGGCGGCGGCGTCAGGTAGAGCGCGCCGGCTGGCGTTGGTTCGCCGCACGTTGGAAAGTTGATCGCTGGTCGCGCGAGACGGCGCTACCGTCTCCTCGCTACCTCGCGAGTTCTCAGGAACGGCCGCGCGGGGGCGCACCGTACGCGCGATCGTCGCGGGCACCGAGCGAATAGCCAATCGGCGCGCGTGGCGTCGCCGTCGTTCTATCGAGCTCGTTGGCACGCCCTACGACTTCCATTGTCCTTCTTTCCGGGATTCTCTGGCGAGGAAGGATGGCACAGAACAATTATTTCGGCTTTACTCACGGCGGCACGCAATATGGGTACGAAAATCGTTTGCATTACCATTTATTACTAAGTAGATAGTGATAAGCCGAGCGAACAACCGTGGCACTCGCGAGCGCGCGCCCGCGGTGGTGACAAAAAGCCCGTAAGCCGTGCGAGGGTTCGGCACGCGCGATACCGCCGGCTTGGCGGCCATTTCTCTCATTGCCGAGAGTAGAGAGCGTCCGTCGTGCGTCCATCTCCATCTCGGGGGGGCCGCCGCCGATCCTCTTTACGAAGCCCGGGCTAACCCGGTCCACGTTCGCGACGCCACGCGCCTCGCTCGCCTCCGCGGCCGCTCGACCGAGCCCCACGTTGCTCCGAGCGGAATCAAGTAATCTGCCCTTCTTCCCGATAGGGCCACTAGCGCGGCAGCTTATCAGACCGGCCAGGCGGGATACGCGGTAACACCAGCGGCGACCGCCGCTACATACACCCAACGACCCGCTGCAGCCGCTGCCACTGGTTACGAGACTTACCAGGCAGCTGCCGCTGCAGCCGCGACTGGGACAACGTACGCTGGTAAGCTCTATTGTCCTACTTGTCAGTGTGTGTTGAGGCTGTTGCATGTGAGAAGTTTTCAGTCGTACACCGGTGAATCCGTGAGAAATCTGACCGATCGCAGTTGATTGTTTTCTCTGCGTCCTTGAAGAATAATCGACTGTGATCGACTGTCGATTTTCTTAGGGAATTGTGATTGCGATTGGAAATTTGTCACCTGCAAAGGCCCTCAGACTGTAGCGTAGAGGCCGTACTTAGATAATATGTCTGAATATTTGCTCTTGATAAAAAAATACGGCTGAAATGAGTCGCGACACAGACACCTGCGCGTCCCAGTTTTGTCCTGGTGTCGTTGCTGGGCATTTTATGAAACATTATGCATTCGTGTCAATGACTTGTGTCTTGTCGTTTCTCTTTCATTTTTTCCCCTTTTTTCTTTAACTTAAAATGTATCTCCTTGTAACTCATTCTTATCTTATTGAATATGTACGGCAATTCTATTAATAAATCAGTTTCTGCCTTTTGATCATGTTCTGCTTAGAAACGTGAAGTACAGAAGTGTCTTCAAGTTAGAAAATTTACACTTTTCACGAATTCACGTTAAAAGGCTAGACGATCCCCTCTAGCGTGAACACGTGTAAATTTTCTAATTCGGAAACTCTTCACATTTCCACCCCAGCAGAGAAAATTACATGGTCGAAAGGTTGTTGATTCGTCAGTGTACAAAGATAGACTCAAGTGTCAGTGTAGATGATCCCGTAATATCGATTATAAAAAAAAAAATCACCAGTTGTATGTTGTATCGTAAAAATATCTATAATGCGTCAATTCTTGTACTTAATACATGGGCAACGTGCACTGAGAGAAAAGGAGAAGTAAAAGCCGCAGAAGAGAAAGCGGGGGACTGAGAAATTCAATAGAATTGCCTTGCGTTGATGTGTATTGTGCGTTATTTATACAACACCGCTACCGAATGTGACAGTATCTCAGGATGACAATCGTGACATTGTAAGGTGTTCTTGTAGCCGCTAATCCTGGTACTGTGGCACAAACTTACGATTACGGCTACGGGCGGGCTGCGCCGGCAGCCACTTACGACGCCACCAAGACTTACTATCAACAGCCAGCAGCCGCCGCAGCGACTTACACCACCACCGAGACCCACTATCAAGCCGCGAAGCCTGCGTACAGTACGACCAGTGCTTACACGGGCACCGCGAGGCAGGCTACGACCACCGGCCAGGCGAAGACCTACCAGGCATCTAGCACGGCTTATCAACAGTCGAACCCAACTCAGAGCGCGACCTACTCGTCGGGATACACCGCTCCGGCTACGCCCGCCGCTACTCCATCGACTGCGACAAATAGTAAGTTTCACGATTGATCTCTCTTCTCTGTGCTCACACTTGTCTCCAAACTTCCAAGAAAGAATCTTCGCTCCTAGTCTGACCACTAACTGTGACGTAGGAACTAATAACATGAAATTGATCCTCTCACGATACACGAAAGAGAAGTGTCGAAAAAGAAATATGAAGGAAAAGAGAAAAAGAAATTCGCAAAGCCTCTGCTGTAGTATTGTCGAGCGCGAGTGAGATAGAGCTCGGGGACAGAAGTCGGGAATTTATGTATCAGCTCTGAAACGCGGAGTATTTTGTACTTTCAGATGTATCGTTTAACTCGGTATATCTTAATTTCGTTTTATCCGCGCGCGCACCCGACAAGCCGGGTCTTGATAGTACCTCTCGGAATGAGCAAATTAGTCAAGGAAAAAGAATGAAAAGAAATAAAGTCTTTCTTTCATTTCGCGCGCGCGCAAGTACGAAGAGTTGTGACCGCTCCAAAGTTTGAGGTTTCAATTTCATTTCCCTTAGAAACGGCGAGTACAACGTATTCCGGCTACGACGCAGCGCTATATAGCGCTGCGACTATGTATGTAGCCCAACAGAGTGCAAACAGCAATTCCACTAACCAGAAGACTGGAGGTTGGCAGGGCTACGGGCGGAAGGGGTTCGGAGCTGGAGGGGGAGGGATGAAGGCAATGCGGCCCAAGCAGCCCCCGAAGCCTCAGCAACTGCACTATTGCGATGTCTGTAAAATCAGCTGTGCCGGACCGCAGACCTATCGCGAGCATCTCGAGGGGCAAAAGCACAAGAAGAAGGAGGCCTCGCTTAAGGTGCCTCAGCAACCACCGGCACGCGGAGCGGGCAACAGTCTACGCTGCGAGTTGTGCGACGTTACCTGCACCGGCAATGACGCCTATGCGGCTCACATCAGGGGCGCGAAGCATCAGAAAGTGGTCAAGTTGCACACCAAACTCGGGAAACCGATCCCTAGCGCGGACCCCACCGTCCTGAACCCGAAACCCCAAGTCCCCTCGAAGGCTTCAGTCACTAAGAAGGCGACAGTGACGGCGACACCGAAAATCAACTTCGTTGCTTGTAAGTTAACTTGCTAATCTGTCCTTGTTAGGTTCGTGGCGCGTGTAAGACAAACTTGCTAGTAAGACTGAGTAAAAATTAGTAAGGTGTTTTCAGCTTTTTAAGAAATTGGCCAATCACAGTCGAATCTGAGGAGAATAATCGACTGTGATTGATCAATTTCTTAAGTGTTAAAGCTCAAGACACCATTATACACCGGGACTTAGAGTGCACTATTACTGCGATTTAAAGGCACTTTGTGGAGACGCGCGCAATGCTATTGTGACGTGTTTCAGCTGGGAACTTGGGCACGGTGAATCAGAATCAGACGGCCGAGATCAAGTCGGAAGAGCCAGCCACCGAGGAAACCGTGGAGGAAGCGACGGTCGATGAGAAGGACATTCAACCGGTCGGCCAAGAATACATTGAGGAGAACAAGTCGGAAGACGGCAAGATCATCAGTTTCAACTGCAAACTGTGCGAGTGTCGCTTCAACGATCCCAATGCCAAAGATATGCACATGAAAGGCCGTCGTCACAGATTCGCTTACAAGAAGAAGGTCAACCCCGATTTGGTTGTCGACATGAAACCGAGCCTCAAGCAGCGCAAGATGTTGGAGGAGAAGTTGCGCAGGCAGCAGATACGGGACGAATATTTGCGCCGTAGGGAGGAGATCAATCAGTTGGGGCCGATGGGACCTATACATGGAATGGAGGAAGATATGATGATATACTGGGAGGAAAGACGCCGTTACGAAGAAGAATGCGAATACTTCGAATGGTATCGGCGATACGGACGCGGTCCGGGCGCGGCGCCGATCCCACGTGGCCCCTTCGCCGGACCACCGGGGCCGATGATGATGTATCCGGGACCTCAGAGACGGCCAGACTCGTCGGATGACAAGCACGTGTTGGCCCATCACACGACCATCTACCCGAAGGAGCAGGAATTACTGTCGGTGCAGAAAATAGTCTCGCACACCGAGAAGGCACTAAAGTATGTGTCGGATTCTTTGGCCGAGGCTGGTAAGTATTCTCGACTTTTTCTTCTTCTTTTCTCCTTTATCCGGATCTCTCGATCCTGTCTCCGTCGAGATTACGAACGATTATATTTTCATCGTTCTACAGGCAAAAAGACGACTCCCGCGAATTCAAACGCTAACGCGACGGCACCTGCTAATGCCGCTGCGCCGCAGGCAAACGCGAATGCGGACGCGTTGAAGAAGGACGAGGCGGACAAGAAGAAAGCGGTCACACCACAGAAGGAAGACGGCAGTGACGGGAATCTGTTCTCGTTCCAAAAGGAGAAGGAGGATTCTAGGATACTCCGCGGAGTTATGCGCGTCGGCAACTTGGCGAAAGGCCTGTTGTTGTCCGGCGACAACCACGTTTGCCTAGTTGTGTTGTGCGCGGAGAAGCCGACAAGGTATACACACGAGACCAGTCCCCCCTCTCGTCGAACACGATCGTGTGCGCGATGACACGTAAATCTCTCAATCTCGTGCATTACAGGGCGTTGTTGAACAAAGTCGCCGAGATCCTGCCCGGTGAGCTGAAGAACGTGGCGCCGGAGGACACCTACAACGTCGGGAAGCATCCGGAGTCCGCGGCTCTAACCGTTTCAGGTGGCACAGTCACCGTAAGCGTGACGCTCACCAGCCCTCTGATGCGCGAGACACCCAAGACGACCGCAGCAGCAGGTGATTTCATTGTTTCGCATTTTCACGGTGGCCAAGAAAAGGATAACTACGAAAGGCGAGAGAAAACGCGGGGTTGTTGCATCACACGGAATTGCACTTCTCTTTTTATTTTCATGCCCGTTTTCCCCGTGAGAAACCGCGACTTATGCATTTAGTTTGTTCTTTTCATGGCCCGCAAGATTTTCTGTAAGTTTTTTTAAGCACCAGGACGATGCGGGACGGCCAAGGACTATTCTCGACGGTTGCGCCAGTGTACATATATATATCTCTCTAACATCAAGTTAATTTCTTTCTTTCGATATATACATATATAGCTGCGTGCTTTCAGTGTGTCCACGACAGAGTCGTCCTCTTAGCGACATGCATTTCTGAGCCACGAAGAAGACACGGGAGAAACAAAACGATACTTCTCGACTTCTGGGCGTCGAGAATAAATTTCGCGGGAAAACAATGGTCAAACTCGATTATTAGACACTTCGCCTTGATATTCCGAGGGTGCCATCTCATCGGTAGTGATTCTTTCGCATCTCGCTTTGCCGATAACATGAAACAAATTCGGGCTCGAGTCTCTGTCGCGATGATACGTTCGTAGTGAGATGAGAAAAAGAGGAAAGAAAAAGAAAAAAAAAACGTGAGGAAAGTTTTGTCGAACGTGGACACGCTTGCGATAGGAGGAAACAACGCTGAGGCAATCTTAAAACTATGGACTTTTTGATCATGCATAAATGAAGACAGAAAATCCCTCTGACTCTTATCGAATGCTGTACGCACACTCTGCGATCGGGAAACCCCCCCGGGATTCAGCCGACACTGTTCTATCGGCATCGGTGCTACCTACCTTTCGAGCGGATAGAGGTGACGCTACCGATGCTGATAGGAATCGTCGGACGTTCTTCAGCGGGTCGGGGGTGCTGAGAAAAGAACGTCTCAACGACGGAGGTGAATCCGGGGGGGTGCATTATTGTGCGACGTACTACATTCGATCAGGCTTATGTAGTTCTTCTTTTTTTTTTTTCACGTTGGCGTTATAACAACACAGCCCACGACTTTTTATATGTACATATATATAAAACGCGCTTGAGTTTTGAATTACGAATTACGCATATAGAGAGGGAATACCTAAAAATCTCTGGGCATGATCAAACACTCTAAGTGTTGTCTAAGCGTGTTGTGCTTTCTTTGTTGGAATCTCAGATAATGCTGGACAGCAGCAGCAGGAAGCTGCTCAACTGCAAACTACGCCCGCGGCCCCGACCGTGACGAAAGCAGATCCTCCGGACGTACTTCCCAAGGCTAAGTGTTTGGAGGCTTTAGCTGCACTCAGGCATGCCAAGTGGTTTCAGGTTTGAATCAATCAACTCTCAGTTCAAGATCTCGAATTGTGTCAGCGCCAATTCTGTTTTGGCGCTAGGAACAGAAACCGAAAGACCAAAAAAAACGAGCATTTTTCTTTTATTTTCTCCTCGACGAGACGCGTGCAAGTTGGTTTTCTCTCTCTCTCTCTCTCTCTCTCTCTCTCTCTCTCTCTCNCTCTCTCCCCTCTCTCTCTTACACACACACTCTTTCTCTCTGTCTCTCCCTTCTCTGTCGAGTCCGCAAAGTGAAAGAAAGAAAGAGAAAAGAAGAAAGCAGTCTTAGAACTTCCAGCCTTGTGACGGTTTTATTTTTATCATTATATAACCACGACCTGTCGACACGATTCTGTCTGACCGGGTCCTATCTGAGCGCTGTGCTCGATGTACGTCGTTCCATATCCGCTGATAGTATTTCCGTATGCACGCCAATCCATCGGCTTTGCCCACTGATGATAATAACAACAATGATGATGATGATCTTCGCCGGAACGTAGATTTACGTACGTTCATATTTTGACGCGCGCGATCACGCTTGTGTTACACCGACTACGTGAAAAGTAAATCATAACAATGGCCCACCTGATGAAACAGTGGCAATAAAAACAGTGGCATCGTCCGGTACGTTGGCTGTCTGAGAAACAATCGCATCGCATCGAACACGAGCGTACATCGATCCGCGTCCAGATGCAGACCGTCAGACAAGCAATCTCTCTCACGAACAAGCAATATGTAAATGTGTATCTCGACAGTCACGCGCAACGCTGCTAGATGCATTTACATCTGCTTTCTCGCTTGATATATCACCGACATCCAGAATAATAGGAAAAGCAGTTCCTCTGCGAGACGTCGAATAACTACTCGAGAATAACTACCTACGTTTGTATGAGAAGAAAGAACGAAAGAAAGACAAAAGACAAAAAGGCAGAAAGAAATAGCTGAAATGGAAAAGATGCCAATTTTCTTTGTTTTCTTTGTACGAAACGCAGACCGCTCGACTTGCTTTACGATCAAGCACGTTCATTATTCTGGATCATCCTCAATGCGTTGTAGCCTAGACTGCGTCTGTCCTGGGTCTGTCTTATTACTCGAGAGTACAAAAGTCAAACGATAGCTTCATGCAAGATTACATGTATTTCGTTGCCATTGTTACTGTAACGATGTAATTGTGCGATTTACTTGCACAGCTTTGGAGATCGAAAGACAGACAAGCACAAACACACAGTAGCGTCATAAGCGTACCGGGTGTTTCTTTTGCGTGTAAAAAAAGAATTCGAGTCAACTAGAGATCATCATTTTGTGATGCACACAACTACTGAGACGTGCTGTAGCATTTTTTTATTGCCGTCTATTTGCGACAACAAGGTGAATAACTGCAAAAAGAAAAAAAAAACATACGTTTAGGAAGTGAAGTGAATCGATAAACACCCGGTAAATATGATTGATATGGGCTAATTTTACTACACTAGGGATGCCTTAGGCACGAGGCTGGGAGGATAGAGCTAAAGCCCACACAAAGCAATCGAAGGAAACTTAGTTTAGGCCGTCTCATCTCCAGAAGAGCCAGTGCTTTTGTCGCTTATATATTCAATTCTAGTCACTCAAGTGTTTTATCCCGTTCAACAGGCTAGAGCGACTTCCCTCCAGAGCTGCGTTATGGTTATCCGTATAATGCGCGACCTTTGCAATCGTGTGCCCACATGGGGTCCGCTGAATCCATGGGTGAGTATATTGAATTTTCATTACGGCGTATTCCCGGCTGGCTGACGGTAATATAATAATCATCGATTCGACACATGTACAGGCATTGGAACTACTGACCGAGAAGGTGATCAGCACCGCCGGATGTCCCTTGAGTCCGGGCGAAGCTTTAAGGAGACTCCTCGAATGCGTAGCTGGCGGAATATTACTTCCAGGCAGCCCAGGTGAGTCCGCCGCGTCGAGAATTGTCAGATGAATTTTACGCCGTTCGTGTGAATGCAGACTGTGCGCGGAGTACTTGTGTGGGTGTCGCCGAATCTGCTTCAGGCTGAACGTACACATACAACTCCGCTAATACTTTCTACTTTCCGTTGCCCCTTTGTTCTCAAATGATGATAAAGATGACGAGACTGAGCGTGTCACGGGTGATGGTCGTCGATCCTGGGTGCGAGTATTTCGTTCCCTTGTGTCGCGAGCATCCGCACCGCGACAACGCGTAGATGATTTGGCAGTCTGATGAGAAATTCCCGCGGTTTTCGCCGGTCCGTCCGATGATGAGAGCTGGTGCGCAATACAAATGTCGGAACGTCTGTTCTTTCCTCGCAGGCTTGTCCGATCCGTGCGAGAAAGAGGCGGTGGACGCGATAGGCAATATGACGTCTCAACAGCGCGAGGACATCACTGCGTCTGCGCAGCACGCCTTGCGGCTGGTGGCGTTCCGGCAAATTCACAAGGTCCTCGGGATGGAGCAGCTACCGCCGCCGAAGTTCAAAGGACGATTTGCGCGCAAGCGAAGACGCGACAACAGCAACGGCGAGGGTACGGACAGCGAGGCATCGAAGAAGGACAAGAAGGCGGAGGAGATCAAAATGGAGACCGACTCCAAGTAGATCTTAACCAAAAGAATTCGTTTTACCGAGAAGTACCCGTTAATTCTTACTGTAGAAATAAGAAAAACAGTTTTCTCCCGCCGTGTCAAGTTGCTTGTATTAGCGAGTCATCGCGCCGGCCCGACGGTCGGATGATAATCGTTGTAATCTCGAGGTCGGGCGCAATAAAACCATCCGAGAGGAATTAATAATAAAAAGTGAACTGGGAAACGACGAGGGCCACCGCTCGCGTAATTTGCTATTTTCGCGGCCTTCGTCTCTCTTCGTCTCTGCGTCCTCGTGACACATCGCTCCATGATAATGCTAAAAGGTCTCTACGATGATTCGAGGAGCACGCCGAGATCACGTCGTCGTTGTTGTGATGTAATGTGTTTTCTCCGATAGGCAATTGATGTATACAGGTAGAATTTAATAGCACTAATTGTCTGTTCGAGAAAGCGCACATTGTAGATGTAAAAAGAAGTGCTGCGCACTTTTTCGCATATTACGATGCACATATACACACACATATATAGTCGGGTGTGACTTGCGAACACGTGTAGAGTCGCCGTTTAATATTGCCATGAAGGGAGAGTTTAGTTGTAACCGTTGGATTTGAATCGGCGAATTACAAAAATCGGCGGTTGTAATCCCTTGACTCGGGCGCATTGTGTCGTAATTATTCAGATACAGCGTGATGAATGTTGCGAGCAGAGAGAGAGAATTTTGAACAGAGAAATGGTGATGTGACGGACATTTATAAGTTTAAAGTTAAGAATAGGTAATAGATTGTATTGAGAATTTGTGTGTATGTTGTGTGTGTAGTCAGTGCAGAAATATCTAAACTACTTTTCCCTTGCGCTCCTGCACAAAATGACAGACGGGCATACGCTTTTATCACGTGCGTTACCGGATAATTCTTATTTGCGAGTCGACAAACTTAAATGGCTTCGATACCGAATGCGGCGGATGATTGCACGTGTCCGAGTTTTTTTTTTTTTGTTTTCATGAAACTCTAAGTAGTCCGTTTTGAATTTCCCGCACGGAATGAAGCTCGGAAAACATTAACTTTGAACTTACGAACACACCGTTTAAGTGTTTTCTTTTCCTGACATTATGTAGATTCTTCTGTTATATTTTCAAGTCATTATTGAATAAAACAAACATATACCAGAGGGATTAGGTCGTTCGAGTTATTTTGCCTGTCCTGCTCGGATTTCTTTTTGCAGTGGTCACTTAGGTTGATACCTAAGTGTCCTTCCATACTGTCAATATCTTGATGATGTGTGCGGTATAATTGTAGTTCTTGAATGCGTCTTTGTTTCTCGGGACTGCTGTCTCACTTCCGTTTTCGACATTTCAAATGACGTGTGTGTGTGAACGGAGATAAAATAGATAATAAAGAAAAATAATTAAAAAAGAAAAACTATTAAAGCTACAGAAGAGTCGGGGTTTTACAAGAAATATATTAATTTATGTTTGAAGTATTGCTTCGCATGTGCGCAAGCCGTGTCGCGAAATATGCGTTCAATCGGGCGTATTGATCGCAGCCGTCCTAATTATTCGAAATAAATGTATAAACATTTTTTATAATCTATGTGAGTATAGCTATTGTCGGAACCTCGAAAAGTTAAAGTATGGACATTTTTAACGAAATCGTTACTTTTGAAAGATTCAGGTTCGATTTTTTCGCAAATTTCTTAAACGAGCGGGAAAAGGAAAAACATTGTGAAATATATATATATATATATATATATATATATATTCAATAATTTTTTTTCACAATCGACTGATTGGTCAATTTCCTAAGGCTTAGAACTTAAAGCACCTATTATATAGACCAGGACTTAGAGCCGCCATTTTTTCAAACAAGAAACGAGGTCGTAGTACAACTCGATAATGGATCAGGTGAACCTTCATCTTTTTAAGTAGTGCTGCTCAACGATGAGGTAAACATCCTTTACATTATTGTGAAAAGTGGACAATATTCAATGAGCTATAAATTGCAAAAATGATGCTATTGAAATGGCTCAATTTTTGCAGTTTAAAGAGCCTAGTTTTTCACCATAATATCGTAATAAAATTTCTGTATTTTTTCCCGTCAAAATGTATTTAGTTACACAATAAATGGTAATATTGTTTAATTGCTTTTTTTAATGTTTCTTCCCAGTTAAATTTTTTAATCGAACATTTACTTTTAACAAAAATGTGGTATGTGTTTCAAAGGGCAAATTTTAACCCAGGTAGCACATGTTAGTTTCATATACGCTCTTTAAACGTATGTAAGGTTTTATAATCATATTATATACATTTCAAGAACGTATATGAAACTATGTTACCGGGCAAGCTTTCTATTCACTTTCAACGTATATATGTACATCAATTTGTTTAATCATTTCTGTGAGCGATCAAAGCCAAGAGGATGCTTTTGCTTTAACGTTGAATAATTCAATGGTAAGCAATTCCACCGCAATCTGTGAGCATATAAATTAAATGGGAAGATCCACGCTATAATATATATATGACATCTGTGTGTCAATTTTCGTTTACGCGGTACAACTTGTCAAATTTCATTGCAAATTTATATATTTAACAGTTTGTACTTGCAGTTGCTTATGGGTGGCTTTGTAAGAAATAATAAATACATTTTGTAATCGAAGATATCTGCATGTATTGTCGTTATTGAAGCAAATTAGCCTTCAATCGATTACTTTTAACCTCCTTAAGAAACAATTGGTTATTAAACGTCAAAGTCATTATTATTATTATTTCATAATTTTGCAATGAGACGTCAATTCTTTGTTTAGCGTCGCATCTAATCCACGTCAGTGCTGCGACGTTGACTCAGCGTAATTCCGTGAAATCTGATTTCCCGTGTCTACGTTCTGGCGTCAGTTTTCAAAATATAATCCGAAAATACACCGACAAAGACAAACAGCGCGTGCGCTTATGTACAATTGATATTTTCGCATATCCATTCGGATTTCCGAATATTTATTATTGTGTGAAAAAGAGATCGAAAGAGGCGCGCGGATTCGGTAACGAATGAAAATATTTCGTGAGTCTTCCCCCAAAAAATAATCGCGGGTAAACAACAAAACGTCGTTCGAACAAACACGCCAGAGTCGAGATAAGAAGAGAAAGATTGAGACGAGGGAAAAGAAGCGATTTGGAAGATGCGCGTATATAAATAGCGCGATCCATGTCGTTGAATTCCTACGAATTCGTTCGTGCTAAAAATACGTGCGTAAAACTACCTCACGCACATCCCACGTGCATTGCGTTGCATTCTCCGTCACATATTCCCTCGTGTTTTTATGCGTCCGCAGAACCTCGAGAATTCCCGACGGTATCGATTTCCCGCGACGTCCGCAACGTTCTCGAACGTTAGATTCAGGACGTGGAACATTCTTGAACATATGAGAGTGCACTTACGTCGATACGGGAGCAGAAACGCGCATCACGCGTGACGTTCGCGCGACGGACCAATCAGCACCGTCGGCGCTGACGCACTTGGCCAATCGCAACGCCGGCGTTGCGTCAGAAACTCGCGATTGGGGGCGAGGGTATAAAGTCGGCCGCAGCTGCGCCGTCGCTTAGTTCAACGGGATTGAAGAAGCAGACGTATCGTGAGTTCACATCTGTTCTTCAGTTGTTGCCTGAGACAACGGTATCTACTGCAGCTAGGAGCTTTCACCGCAAAAGGTTCGATTCGTTATTCGATATTTATATTCACCGGAATTCCCGGACCGCTCGAGACATCTTTGCGTATCGCGCGTTTGGGAAAATCAGCGGAATTCTTCGTCGTTCTTGCCGTTACCTTATCGAAGCATATACACGAAAGAGAACGCGAGTTTACGTTTAACGGACGATCGTAATCAGAGCTTTGTATCGTGAATTTCGCGGATTTCCCATCCGAATCATTAATGTGTGTCGATCGTTACTAATCGACCCTGTTGCTAAGCGGATATTTTCGTCGGGATCGTCCTGCTGCGTCGCGAGAACGCGATATCACGATTCGGAGAAAAAGGATGATGAGTCTGTCGGATGTTAATACGATAGCCGTGTAATTGGAGACGGACGGGAAAGAATCGTTCTCGCTTTTGTTCCGCCAGTCACCGTAGCGAGATAACAGCGTGATGACTCATCGCGACATTGCGACGCAAGCGAGCACAAAATGGCGGTTATCGATTCCGTCGCGTCATGCGACGAAAGCTGATACGACGTATTTTCTTTTACGACTTCTGATACAATGCCTTGGCATTGTTCGGTGTACTCCGATAAATGTTTTATTGTTAACCGATATCCGGACTTAATCGAGTACGCCTGTATTATTCGAGTGGGATGAAAGATTTTGCGTCGTCGAACATATGTGAACACTTCGTCCATTTTCCTCGTTCGTGTAGTACATATTGCGAGGAACGATAATGATATGAAATTAATGTTAGGTTTAACGACATTAATTAATAATGTTAAATATTGTTGCAGAGCACCATGCAGATTTTCGTGAAGACACTGACGGGGAAAACCATCACCCTCGAAGTTGAAGCGTCCGACACTATCGAGAACGTGAAGGCCAAGATTCAGGATAAAGAAGGGATCCCACCCGACCAGCAGCGTCTCATCTTTGCTGGCAAGCAACTCGAGGACGGACGCACATTGTCCGATTATAACATCCAGAAGGAATCTACCCTTCACTTGGTACTTCGGCTTCGAGGCGGCATGCAGATCTTTGTGAAGACTTTGACCGGCAAGACCATCACATTGGAGGTCGAGGCCTCCGATACCATCGAGAATGTCAAAGCAAAGATCCAAGACAAGGAGGGGATCCCTCCAGATCAGCAGAGATTGATCTTTGCTGGGAAACAGCTCGAAGATGGCCGCACCCTGTCGGACTACAACATCCAAAAGGAGTCGACTCTGCATCTGGTTCTCCGTTTACGTGGTGGCATGCAAATTTTCGTCAAGACCTTGACAGGAAAGACGATCACTTTGGAGGTGGAGGCTTCGGACACCATCGAGAACGTGAAGGCGAAGATCCAGGACAAAGAAGGCATTCCACCTGACCAGCAAAGGTTGATCTTCGCAGGCAAACAGCTCGAGGACGGACGCACATTGTCCGATTACAACATCCAGAAAGAATCTACCCTTCACCTGGTACTTCGACTTCGAGGCGGTATGCAGATTTTTGTGAAGACTTTGACCGGCAAGACCATCACATTGGAGGTCGAGGCCTCCGACACCATCGAGAATGTCAAAGCGAAGATCCAGGACAAGGAGGGGATCCCCCCGGATCAGCAGAGATTGATCTTTGCTGGGAAACAGCTCGAAGACGGCCGCACCCTGTCTGACTACAACATCCAGAAGGAATCCACTCTGCATCTGGTACTCCGACTTCGTGGCGGTATGCAGATTTTTGTGAAGACTTTGACGGGCAAAACCATCACTTTGGAGGTTGAGGCTTCTGACACTATTGAAAATGTGAAGGCCAAGATCCAAGATAAGGAAGGCATTCCACCCGACCAGCAAAGACTGATCTTCGCGGGGAAACAGCTGGAAGACGGACGCACCCTGTCCGACTACAACATTCAGAAAGAGTCTACTTTGCATTTAGTTTTGCGACTCCGGGGCGGTATGCAGATTTTTGTCAAGACCTTGACTGGTAAAACTATTACTTTGGAGGTCGAAGCGTCGGATACCATCGAGAACGTGAAAGCCAAAATTCAAGACAAAGAGGGCATCCCACCCGACCAACAAAGACTGATCTTCGCGGGGAAACAGCTTGAGGACGGGCGTACCTTATCCGACTACAACATCCAGAAGGAGTCCACCCTCCACCTGGTGCTCCGACTTCGAGGCGGTATGCAGATCTTCGTCAAGACCTTGACGGGGAAGACTATCACGTTGGAGGTCGAGGCCTCCGACACCATCGAGAACGTGAAGGCGAAGATTCAGGACAAAGAAGGCATTCCACCTGACCAGCAAAGGTTAATCTTCGCGGGCAAACAACTCGAGGACGGGCGCACCTTGTCCGATTACAACATCCAGAAAGAATCCACGCTTCACCTTGTACTTCGCCTTAGAGGTGGCAATATGTAATTTGTTCTCTGTCTAATTGCCACGTATATTTTTTTCTATCTTTTTTTTTTCTTCTAGATTGTTAGTTTTATTTAACGAGGAAGAATAAATTATTTATGTTGCGATCACTTTAATATGCGTGTCATTTGTGTGCCCTTGGTGTCCTTGTATCCTACGATTGTAATCCGTAATCTTAGATCTGTATTGATTACCTAGAAGAGCCAGGTGAAGCGTTAGGTTGTGTCAGCTTCGCACGCTGTAAGATTATTCTTTAAACAATATATCTGCTAGTCTTGACAAGAAAGTCTCGAATCTTTATTCTGCTTTGTACATTTGTTAGCGGCTTGCGCGAAAATTGCTTTCGTGACAGCGACGTGAATAAAAGGAAAATAAGAGCAATAAATTAATAATATTTCGGTTAAGATAAGCAACTTGATATTTATTTTTCGATTGGAAATAGTATTTTTCGAGTTCGTTCTTTCTAATTGTATTTCCCGCGCGTTTAGAATGGAAATATCTGCGGGTAAAGGAGGTAAGAAGAAAAAGCATGGAGTGGTAAAGTAGAATAGTCAGTGTGACGGAGGAAGTTGTCTTTATAACTACCCGGTGGCGCCACTAGGCTTTTGATACACGTTCCTATATGTTCTATGCAAAGAGCACAGACATCATTACAGCGCAGGCGTCGCACGCAACGCCGGCCCGTCATTACGAAGCTTGATCGAATTTGTAAGTTACAAAGCAATACTTTTAAAACGATTTCAAATTCGGACGAACGCGCGCCGATCAATAATTCATGATTCTGTCGAACGAATCGCGATTAAATCTCTTTCAAATCATTTGATTTTTGCCGCATGCGCTCGTAAATCAATCCCGTTACACTGCGTACAAAATTCGGCCATATTTCTCATGGCGGAAAGAACTCGGAACGTGTATTTTCGGCCCAAAGGCGCGGGTGTGTACGTGGTCGTCGTTTCGATTTATGAATAAATCGATTGCATTCCGCCGTAATTGAATGACAAACACCGGAGAGAGAGAGAGAGAGAGAGGTGCGCCGGCGATACAAATCTACCCTGCCTCCCGCCTTTTGTTTCTCGCAGACGGAATAAAAAGCGGCTGACGCGTAATTGCTAAACGGCATTGCCGCATTTTGCAGTTGTTTGCACTTTGATGATACGCGTGGGCCATCCGACGAGTCGGTCGAAATTTTCGTCAGCGAGACGCGAGTAGTGTTTTTTTCGGGCTGCGCGGAACGCGAGAGATTCAATAACCGAGTGCGGTGAAAAACATGTAATTTGACTGAATATGCATTTTCCCCGCTGGTCAAAAATGAAAAAGGGTCTCACGTGATGATTACCATCGGCGAAACATTAGGCGAATTGAAGGATTTATAATCTTACGGACTATCAAGCAATATTCTAGTATGCTTGCACGAAAAGTATAATTTTTCATTTTACATTTTCTTTTTTATTTATCGGTTCTATATTTTATGCCATGCATTTTAAATCACTTGTGCGTTAATTACACTTCCTCTTTATTCCTTTCTCGTATTTACGTTGAATAATAAGCAACATACATATATCAGCTAACGAACAATAAAATCTCGCATTCTGAAAAGCTTCACTCCAGAAATATCAAATCTACTTTTTTCCTTCCTTTTAAATATTTCGTTTCACGAAACGTGACCTACAGCAAACATCAACTGACATTGCGTCGATGTTATAATTTTTTATTTAACGATGTAAATATTACGTATAACACTTGTTATAAAGCAGTTATATTGTTGAGTGGAAAATTATAACATTCATATAACGTTACTGTCAATTGATGTTTGTTGAGGAGATATTAATGATGTGCTTTTACACGACCCTATTAGTATCACCAAACATTTCCAGTGCCCTCTGAAGAGTGACAATTTCTGAGTGGCCGTCGAATACGGCCACTTTCGACGACTCCTCGCTCATTTTAATGCAGTTTTAGTGAGATGGGATTTCAAAAACAGTTGTTTTCCGATTGAATTTTATATATTTATATTTCTAGTAATAATAAAAACAATAATAGTTTTTATTAGTGGATAAACCATTCAATATGTATCGCAGAGTAATATCACAAATAAGTGGAAATTAAAAAGATAATAACCAAACAAAGAATTTATGGACTTTTAGGAGCAAAGCACGGATTTTTTAGTGTCATATGAACAGTATTAATATTTATTGCGCGAGAATATAACGCTTGAATACATATTATGTCCGAAATTATCTTTTATCTTCGTACGTGGAGAATTAAAAAATGTCAAGCATATCCTTTTATTTCTAATTAATATATAATTCTTCCAATTAAACCTAGAAAGATTATGATTTTTAATTTACGATAAGCGTTGCGGAAAATACTGTCTCTGTCAGGAAGATAAAACGACAATAATATCCCGGTAAACAAGAAATCATTAACACAACGTTATTACAATGATATTTTATAATATGTAATGTTTTTATATATAAATATGTTTTTATATATAAATATGTTGTTTTTAATGTTGTATATAACGTCATTGTTAACAATGAACAAATATTTGGATTCAAATATTAAAAATAATATCTCTATACTATGATGTTAATATTTAGGAATATTACATTATCAAATAACAGTTTAAAAATATTTATAAAATATATCAAAACGTACATTTATCACATTTGCATAAAATCAATATTTCAAGAGATTGATTTAATGTTTCTTGCTTACTGCAATGGTACAAATA